GGAGACAGTAACTATAGTAGACAGGAAGGAGACAGTAACTACAGTAGACAGCGAGAGAGGAGACAGTAACTAAACAGCGAGAGAGATCATAAAGAGACACAAGAACGTAGAGAAGGATGACCTAGTATCTTCAGCAGAGAAAGACTGCTGTAGTAAGATGAAAGAGAAGGTAGTGTGCGCTGCAACCACAATACTGAAAACACTTTAAATCAAAGATGGGATACCAAAAACATAATTATAATCCTGTAACTACAAACAGATATTCATACACATTACAAATTAAGCACTAAACATGGGATACCACGAACATGCTGTAAGTCTGTCTGAAATACAGATAGGTAATCTACCCTCTCTCTCTCTCTCTCTCTCTCACACACACACGTACATACAAGCACACATATGCACACATGAGCACTCAAATACACGTGTGCACCGAGTGCGCACGCTGAGCTTGTCAAGTTCAACTCGTATAGTTCATTTGTAACATCGCATTGTTATGTAGCATCACTTCTCTCACACTGACGTGGCACACCAGCTTCCCTTAGTCTCACATGCTTTTATTTTGACTCCTGGAAAGTTCACATATTCTTTAGGAGCGAAAGTTAAAGAAATGCGTATGAACACTGACGAATTTTCACATAGGAGCAACGAATTAATAATTATAATAAAAAAGCATCCAGACTTAATTTTGATCATAACAGATGCTGTGTTCTTAAGGGGATACAGAATAGTGAGAGAAACTGATGAAGAGAGGCATTTCTGTAAGTATAAAGAGATTAGATTCTACAAAAATGAGTAATATTAGACTAAAGGTAGAACAAATAACAAGATTAATAGGTAGTAGCAGTCATATGTTCCAAACAAAAAACACAAGACAAGTAACACTGCAGCAACACACACAGTAGAAATGACAGCACGTGTGCCAACCAGAACTAGAGGAATCCTGTTAATTATTAACAGACTTGAGAGATGGATATCGTCATGAGACACCATTAATATGGAAGGGCATTTTCATATATGTAACTACAAGGAACTTCCTATCCCAGTATACCGAGGAACCAATAACGTTGAAACTAGATCTGGTAGTCACCTTAAACGACAGAAATAGAGAAAATAGGAAATGAAGAACAACCATACGAGGGGGTGATCGCTAGGTACTAACATTCCACTGCCTCACAAAGACAGAAACAAGCCAGAGGAAACGAGCAAAAAAAAAAAAGTGACTGAAGTAACTAAAGTTGGAATAACTTTCCTAAGAAAAACACAGTAAGATTTTCGAAATGTTCGTAAAAAAACCCCACTTGAAATAATGGAGTACCTCACTCGATACTGCTGGGAAACAATGTAAACATCCGTCTCTCCACATCCACCCTACTCATCCACATCCCCCTTCACCACATAACCACACACACACACACACACGCCAGGAGCTATGACTCGACCCCTGCAACCACAAATAGGTGAGTACACGTACGCAAGAGACAGCCGGAAGCCGAGTCTCGACCCCTGCAACCACAATAAGGTGAGTACACACACACACACACAAAACTACACACACACATACTAGCACCTCTAACACTAATGATCATAAAAATTTTGCCAGAGGTGTGTTTGTGGTGAAGGTTGGTGTCAGCAACCCTGCAACCCTAGACCGGTGGTGGTCAGGTTGGTGTCAGCAACCCTGCAACCCTAGACCGGTGGTGGTCAGGTTGGTGTCAGCAACCCTGCAACCCTGGACCGGTGGTGGTCAGGTTGGTGTCAGCAACCGTGCAACCCTGGACCGGTGGTGGTCAGGTTGGTGTCAGCAACCGTGCAACCCTGGACCGGTGGTGGTCAGGTTGGTGTCAGCAACCCTGCAACCCTGGACCGGTGGTGGTCAGGTTGGTGTCAGCAACCCTGCAACCCTGGACCGGTGGTGGTCAGGTTGGTGTCAGCAACCCTGCAACCCTAGACCGGTGGTGGTCAGGTTGGTGTCAGCAACCCTGCAACCCTAGACCGGTGGTGGTCAGGTTGGTGTCAGCAACCCTGCAACCCTGGACCGGTGGTGGTCAGGTTGGTGTCAGCAACCGTGCAACCCTGGACCGGTGGTGGTCAGGTTGGTGTCAGCAACCGTGCAACCCTGGACGGTGGTGGTCAGGTTGGTGTCAGCAACCATGCAACCCTGGACCGGTGGTGGTCAGGTTGGTGTCAGCAACCATGCAACCCTGGACCGGTGGTGGTCAGGTTGGTGTCAGCAACCATGCAACCCTGGACCGGTGGTGGTCAGGTTGGTGTCAGCAACCCTGCAACCCTGGACCGGTGGTGGTCAGGTTGGTGTCAGCAACCATGCAACCCTGGACCGGTGGTGGTCAGGTTGGTGTCAGCAACCATGCAACCCTGGACCGGTGGTGGTCAGGTTGGTGTCAGCAACCATGCAACCCTGGACCGGTGGTGGTCAGGTTGGTGTCAGCAACCATGCAACCCTGGACCGGTGGTGGTCAGGTTGGTGTCAGCAACCCTGCAACCTGGACCGGTGGTGGTCAGGTTGGTGTCAGCAACCATGCAACCCTGGACCGGTGGTGGTCAGGTTGGTGTCAGCAACCATGCAACCCTGGACCGGTGGTGGTCAGGTTGGTCTCAGCAACCCTGCAACCCTGGACCGGTGGTGGTCAGGTTGGTGTCAGCAACCATGCAACCCTGGACCGGTGGTGGTCAGGTTGGTCTCAGCAACCCTGCAACCCTGGACCGGTGGTGGTCAGGTTGGTCTCAGCATAGAGTCATTCGCTAATACGGATTATTACGTTGACTGATTATTCAAGATCTCGTCAGATCTTCACTGACACGACGGGAATCCTGCTCACTGTATAATTTAACAGCTCGGTTATTATTAAGTAAAAATAAATACAAGTGTTTGTATATTAGGGCACACTAGGGGAGGCCGTGTGCGGTAAATGTGAAGGCACTGGTGGAGCCCATCTACCGGTACAAGTGTTGAAAGTGGCGAAGCACCGGTCTCACTCACCTCAAACAACAGATTACCTCGAGTGAGGCGAGTCAATTGTCAATGGCTTCAGAACATCACATTTAGGTGTGAGAGAGACTTAGGTTATTAAGGATGATTGTGTTTACTGTCTCAGTGTTCACGTGTTCACGAAGAAAGAAGTACAGTCCTAAATCTGCTCCTGTTGCAGACTCTCAGGGATAAAAATAAACACAACGGTTGACAAAAAAAACTAGACCATGTTAGACATTTTCTTCAAATGCCAGTTCGTCTAAACTACTTTTTTCAACCGTTTCCATAACAAGAATTTCGAGAGTCTTCTTTGTGTTGAAGTTCAGGTACACCATATAAAAGTACTTTGATTTTCCTCTGAGGGCAAAGGGAACAGTGAATGTTAATCTTTGAAGAAGATTTACCAACACAGTTTAGTGGAGCCACTGGTGGTACGTCCTGCTGGCTGTCTGGTGGATGACACTTAAACCTCTAACGTTCACTACGAATACACACGTTTTTTGAGATGAAACTAAACAAAGTTTCAGGCCGCCCTGGAACTTTTCTCAAGTCAGGAAGCGACTTAATAATGTTCTAGAATTGATCGGCCACCTCCAGTTTGCGGGTTTGTTATAAATTGTCTCAGCTACGGTGACTTATATCCTTGCAGAACACTATCTAACAGTATTCGCAAACACTATATCTATATGTTGGGATAATGACCATCGAGTCCGACTCGCTCACAGCACCACAAAATCACCACCAGACAACCATTAACATGCTCACCACCGCAAAATTACCACCACTGGCTCCGATAACATTATTTCCGTGTTGGCAAAGGTAACAGGCGGAATATCAGGGTCACACACCGTACATGTTGACTACACGTAGCTACAGTTTCATAACAAGAGTTGTATACAGAGAGCTGCCAATATATTTGTTTATTTACATTTGTTAGGGAGGAGGTAAATTTGGATTCTGGGGAACACGGAGATGTCAAACAAAAAAAAAAATGTTAGTTTGTAAATAGTGGAAGTATAAGGGATGTAACCAGTGGGTACAAAAATGCTATTGATATATAATAAAATAGGTATAAAATGCATATATATTACATCCAGAGATAAGGTGTCCGAGCTTGTGTGTGTGTGTGTGTGTGTGTGTGTGTGTGTGTGTGTGTGTGTGTGTGTGTGTGTGGTGTGTGTACTTGTTGTAAGGAGTGGACCGGGCCGCGGGGGCGCTGACCCCCGGAACACCCTCCAGGTAATATATAAGCCGTGCTTTTGAAAGCTTTTTGTTGACTTTGCTTATTCGGCAACGACCGAATCTGCCAAGTAAGTCGAGCAAATTTTTTTTTCTGCATTTGAGAAAATCAATTGAATCATCATGAAATTAATGTTTTATTGGTTTTAAAAAATCCTGACTAAAATTAGATTAATGTTAGGTAGACTGGATTACACAATATTGCGTCAGTGAAGTAAGATTTAGTCAATCTGCTAAGTGAGTTTTGCTTCAGAATTTAAAATGTGTAAACAGACCACGGTACGGGTGGGGATAGAACTCGCGGCAAGTGAGTCGTAAAATTCCAGGCCAGCGCGTAAGCCACTAAGCCAGCTGACTACAATAAGATTCATCCAACTAGATATATTTATACACCATAGGGAGGTTAACTGTGACCACTTGTGGTCATAGTGGGACCCATTTTAACCTCCTTATGGTATATAAATATACCAAGTTGCATGAATCTTATTGTAGCCAGCTGGCCCAGTGGCTTACGCGCTGACCTGGAATTTTACTACTCACTTGCCGCGAGTTCTATTCCCGCCCGTACCGTGATTTGTTTGCAATCGTGTCATTACGATTTCGTGAGTCATGTGTAAACAATGCTTTATACAATACTACTGCTTGTCAATATCTCCTCCAACAAGTAGAGTTGGGTTTGTCTAATTGGCTTATGAGGCACGGTAAAATAGCACAAGTGAATGCCACTAGCGGTACGTATAGATATACAGTGTGTGTGCGTGTGTGTGTGTGTGTGTGTGTGTGTGTGTGTGTGTGTGTGTGTGTGTGTGTGTGTGTGTGTGTGTGTGTGTGTGTGTGTGTGTGTGTGTGTGTGTGTGAGCACGAACACGAGGACGACCAGAAGAAGCACTTAGTGAAGGAGCTTGTAAAGGACACCGAGAACGAGGACGGTGACTAGGGCGAGGACAACTATTGTGATGATCTTGGCGAAGGTGTTCATGTTGTGCTCGGCCTCCATGTATGGGTCTCTGGGCTTGGGTCGGTCGATGGAGTTCTGCACGAGGGTCGGGAACGCCAGTTTCTGCGTGAACGATAGTTTGGGCACTGGTTCGGGCAGGTAGGGCAGGTTGTACGGGTTGTGCAGAAGATGGTGGGTCTGGTTGCCGCCTCCCGGACCGCCTTGCGTCGGGTCATAGTCGAAGGAGTCGTAGTCGTAGTCCATACTGAAGTAGGGATTGAGGGAGCGAGCCAGGGAACGCAAGCTCAGCAGGGAGGGGCGACGGGAACGCTGTGATTCTTGTCCTGAACGAAATAGAACACACAGTTGAGGAATTTTGAACAGTACAGTAACTGATACAATACACAAGCAAGTAACCCACAATTACAGAGGCTGGAACAATTCCCAACCCATAAATTAAAAAGAAAATCAGGACGATGTTCGGGTCCGTCCTGAGACTTGGTAATAGCACATTACGGACAGAAACGTCGTCCGGTCTTCATTTCGGACCTGAGTACTAGTTATGACTAACATTATAACTTGCAGTTACCAAGAATGTTGAAATATTGCAATCATAAAATTCTTGCTTGCATATTTACTGTTATTTCCATCTCGAAACACACAACGGTTAAATATACAACGGTTTAATATATATGGACATTTATGAGTAAATTTTGAATGGATTTTCGTATAAAAAATTTTTCCTCCAAAATCTAATTCTTATTCAATAAGAGACTCACAGTGAACTGTGAGTCTCTTACATACATATAGTATAAAATGCAAAATATTTAATTTTCGGCAACCAAATTGACGTTATTGTGGTTGATGGGGTTCGACACTGGAGGAGTAGTGGAGCCGTTTGGTGTGGTCTTGTGGGATGAACATAACTGTGGGGGACCAGGGATGAGCCATGAGGTTGCCCACAACACTACAACTATCCCCGTCATCCCGTGGCCCTCACCCGTCATCCCCCTAATCATCAGCAGCGTGTACAACAACGACAGCAGGGAGAGTATAGAGGTGGGCATCAGGCTGCTAGAGTTGTATACGTGTGTTAAGTTTGTGAAGCCCAAGATAAGGAGATTCCAAGTCATGGAGCCGTATGTGATGGTTTCCAACGGCAAGGGAGGATGCAACGCTAGGGCTGGCTTCGATCACACTCCAGGCTTCATTTCCTACGTTCACTTGCACTCCCCTGAGTGCATCCGACGCGTCGGACACGTCATACACGAGCTGATGCACGTTCTAGGTTTTTATCACGAGCACCAGCGACAGGACCGGGACGAACACATCAGGGTCATCTACGAGAACATCCTACCGGAACACGAGTTCAACTTCCGTAAGATGTACGACGAGACCTTTGGCTTGCCGTACGACGTAGCCTCCGTCATGCACTACGGCACTCGAGGGTTCTGTAAGAACTGTTCTAGGGATACGATCGAGGCTCTTCCAGGAGAACGCAACGCCCACATGATGGGACAGAGACTGAACCTCAGTAGGACCGACGTGGCCCGGGTAAACCGACTCTACGACTGCGGGGAGATGTACCTAGGGGACGACCTGCCAGGGGCCGTTCCTTACCGGATATGGAGGATGAACCAAAAAAGAGACGTAGTAGGTTTTGCCAACAGATACCTTCAACTCAGCCCCTGAAGTCGAAATATATTTAACTAAAGTTTGGAATTCCTTGCAGACTTTTTAATATATTTAAACTTCAGGGGTATATTTGATTTTTTTCCTTAATAAATCTCCAGAGAGTTCGCAAAGAGATGCAACTTCCTTCTAACATCACCTCCTTCCCCTGACCTTTACTTATAACACAGCCATTACAACTGCATCTCCTCCTCCTCCTGCCCTTCACCTGTAACTTGTCAAAACACCTGTTATTCTTTTATGATCATTTGTAATACCAAAATCAACATACATAAACTCGACAGAGAGCGGGTAGAGGATCGAGCCTCCAGCACTCCTTACTCTGAATAAGCCATACAGGTTTAACGCTTCGCTGAATGAAATCTAATCTAGCGGCTACTAAGACTTAATCACATATGCACATAAATAGAGAAAATCTATAGACGGGAGCAGAGTGTAAACGGAGACTGTGTATATTTCGATCTTCGTCTGAGATCTTCTTCAGTACAGGAGAGTGAAAAATCTTGGCTTATTTTTATTAAAAAAGTTTACACTCTCCTGGGTATCTCTAATACCCTCGCATTCACCTGGGTATCTTTAATACCCTCACATTCACCTGGATATCTCTAATACTTTTATATTCACCTGGGTATCTATAATACCTTCACATTCACCTGGATATCTCCATTACCTTCACATTCACCTGGGTATCTCCAGTATCTTCACATTCACCTGGATATCTCCAGTACCTTCACATTCACCTGGGTATCTCCAGTATCTTCACATTCACCTGGATATCTCTAATTCCTTCAAATTCACCTGGGCATCGTCAAGGCATCCTGCCCGCCTCACCTGGCAGCTGGAGTCTGAAGCTGGGGTGACGCTCGACAGTGGTGTTGGACCTGGGGTAGGGCTGAGAAAGGGAGTGGGTCCGAGAGAGCTCCGAGCGAAGGGAGAGCCTGGAGGAGCCTGGAGACATGGCAGACCCGCCGCTCTCCGTGAAGGAGCACATGGAGTTGACAGAGAGAGTCACCATCTCAGGTGCTCCTTGCTCGCTCTGTATGCTGTCTGACCGCGAACACTGCAAAGACGGGAAGCTTTAGTCACAGTGAACACTACAGTGACGGGAAGGTTTAGTGAGAGTGAACGCTACAGTGACAGGAAGGTTTAGTGAGAGTGAACACTACAGTGACGGGAAGGTTTAGTGAGAGTGAGCACTACAGTGACGGGATGGTTTAGTGAGAGTGAACACTACAGTGACGGGAAGGTTTAGTGACAGTGAGCACTACAGTGACAGGAAGGTTTAGTGACAGTGAACACTACAGTGACGGGATGGTTTAGTGACAGTGAGCACTACAGTGACAGGAAGGTTTAGTGACAGTGAACACTACAGTGACGGGATGGTTTAGTGACAGTGAACACTACAGTGACAGGAAGGTTTAGTGACAGTGAACACTACAGTGACGGGAAGGTTTAGTGACAGTGACCACTACAGTGACAGGAAGGTTTAGTGACAGTGAACACTACAGTGACGGGATGGTTTAGTGACAGTGAGCACTACAGTGACAGGAAGGTTTAGTGACAGTGAACACTACAGTGACGGGATGGTTTAGTGACAGTGAGCACTACAGTGACGGGATGGTTTAGTGACAGTGAACACTACAGTGACGGGATGGTTTAGTGACAATGAGCACTACAGTGACAGGAAGGTTTAGTGACAGTGAACACTACAGTGACGGGATGGTTTAGTGACAGTGAGCACTACAGTGACGGGATGGTTTAGTGACAGTGAACACTACAGTGACGGGATGGTTTAGTGACAGTGAACACTACAGTGACAGGAAGGTTTAGTGACAGTGAACACTACAGTGACGGGATGGTTTAGTGACAGTGAGCACTACAGTGACAGGAAGGTTTAGTGACAGTGAACACTACAGTGACGGGATGGTTTAGTGACAGTGAGCACTACAGTGACGGGATGGTTTAGTGACAGTGAACACTACAGTGACGGATGGTTTTAGTGACAGTGAGCACTACAGTGACAGGAAGGTTTAGTGACAGTGAACACTACAGTGACGGGATGGTTTAGTGACAGTGAGCACTACAGTGACGGGATGGTTTAGTGACAGTGAACACTACGGTGACGGGATGGTTTAGTGACAGTGAACACTACAGTGACAGGAAGGTTTAGTGACAGTGAACATTACAGTGACGGGATGGTTTAGTGACAGTGAGCACTACAGTGACAGGAAGGTTTAGTGACAGTGAACACTACAGTGACGGGATGGTTTAGTGACAGTGAGCACTACAGTGACGGGATGGTTTAGTGACAGTGAACACTACAGTGACGGGATGGTTTAGTGACAGTGAGCACTACAGTGACAGGAAGGTTTAGTGACAGTGACACTACAGTGACGGGATGGTTTAGTGACAGTGAGCACTACAGTGACGGGATGGTTTAGTGACAGTGAACACTACAGTGACGGGATGGTTTAGTGACAGTGAACACTACAGTGACAGGAAGGTTTAGTGACAGTGAACACTACAGTGACGGGAAGGTTTAGTGACAGTGACCACTACAGTGACAGGAAGGTTTAGTGACAGTGAGCACTACAGTGACGGGATAGTTTAGTGACAGTGAACACTACAGTGACGGGATGGTTTAGTGAGAGTGAACACTACAGTGACGGGAAGGTTTAGTGACAGTGAGCACTACAGTGACGGGATGGTTTAGTGACAGTGAACACTACAGTGACGGGATGGTTTAGTGAGAGTGAACACTACAGTGACAGGAAGGTTTAGTAACAGTGAACACTACAGTGACGGGAAGGTTTAGTGACAGGTTATGCCAGGTAATTTCCACCCTCACTGTACCCAGTGTTAACTCATCAACAAAGAGACTTGATGAACATCTGGCAGTGATCAGTGTACGGAGTACCGAGCCTCCACTAACTCCTGAATATCTCACACGAGGTTTAACTAATCACTAAATTCCAAACAGTCTAACACAGAGGAAGAATGATGGGAGGGACGGGCGGAAGAAAGGTTTAAGTTTTAAAAAATATAAACAACTTGAGCCTCTCGGATCATTCAAACAAAAATAAATCTATAAATCAAATTTACGAACACACGAAGAATTAAATCACCCCTCACATTAAATTAAAATATCCGGCATCACCGAAAAAAAAATATATAATTGAATGACTTCCATTAATATTTCTCTGACGTCTTGACACATCCCTGAGTCTCGGGATTAATGCAGTTGTTGATAAGAGGTAAATCAGTCTGGTACAATCAGTACATGGAGCGGTGGAGGCTGGGTCCACTGTCAGCTACTCACGGTCTCTAGCCAGTCCCTGGATCCATTATGTACCTCTGCAATCTTTTACTTTTGCTATAACGTGTGTGTGTGTGTGTGTGTGTGTGTGTGTGTGTGTGTGTGTGTGTGTGTGTGTGTGCGACCTGATTAATGTTTGCATAAATAACTCATTATGATTGTGACCAGATATAAATATGTAAATATTTATATCAGAACTTTGCGGCTCAGTCCCTGGACTCATTATGTACCTCTGTAATCCTTTGACTACTGCCCACAGGATGAGTGTGAGGTGCATAATAAAGATGTTAAACTAGCCGGTCAGAGACTAGCTACTCAGACACTCACAAGATTCCCCACTAAACTGTACACTGTTGATGCTACTGAATTAGGTGCCACAGATAGAGGCAACACTGCAGGTGGTACAGAATAGTGTCACCTGCAGTTTGGCCACTGCAGGTGACACAAAGAGGGAAAGAATCATCATTAAGGGAGGGGAAAGAGGGCTGTATGTTGGTATAACAGATGATATCGTCACTCGTGTAATATTTACTCTGGTAACTGAGAGACAAAAGTTATAATTGAATTCTCTCTCTCCGGGTACAGAATGTCAGAAGATTCCCACAAATTCGTTATCTAGAAATTTTTAAGAGTTGCAGAAGAGTAAGATGTGGTACCGAGGGTTGGAAGACCGAGAGGAAGGGGAAGGAATGAGGAAGAAGAGGGAGGGATAAAAGGAAGGGAAGGGAGAGAGCATAAGAGGAAGGGGAGAATACAAGGACAGGAGTATGAGAGGGCGAGGTGCAAAGTGTAAATATTGTTCCCACGTATACATACTAAGACACACACATACACACACACACACACACACACACACACACACACACACCACACACACACACACACATACACACACACATACACACACACATACACACACATACATACATGGAGGGCTAAGATGATGGAGGTGGTACTGGAAAACTTCATGTGCCAACACGTAAGGGACACTACAAGAGAGAGAGAGGAGAGGATGAACCAGCAAGGCTGGACTTAGTATTCACTTGAGTAGTGCAGATATCGAGGACATCACATATGAAAGACCCATTGGGGCCAGTGACCATGTGGTTTTAAGCTTCGAATACACTGTAGAGCTACAAGTGGAGGGAGAAGCAGGAAGGCCAGGACGAATGAAGCCAAACTACAAGAAAGGGGACTACACAGGAATGAGGAACTTCCTGAACGGGGTTCAGTGGGACAGAGAACTGGCAGGGAAGCCAGTTAATGAGATGATGGAATATGTAGCAACAAAATGCAAGGAGGCTGAGGAGAGGTTTGTACCCAAGGGTAACAGGATTAATGAAAAAGCCAGGATGAGCCCATGGTTTACCCAAAGGTGCAGGGAGGCAAAAAGCAAGTGTGCTAGAGAATGGAAGAAATATAGAAGGCAAAGGACCCAGGAGAATAAGGAGAACAGTCGTAGAGCCAGAAACGAATATGCACAGATAAGAAGGGAGGCCCAAAGACAATATGAAAATGACATAGCAGCGAAAGCCAAATCTGACCCGAAACTGTTGTACAGCCACATCAGGAGGAAAACAACAGTCAAGGACCAGGTAATCAGGCTAAGGAAGGAAGGAGGAGAGACAACAAGAAATGACCGTGAAGTATGTGAAGAACTCAACAAGAGATTCAAAGAAGTGTTCACAGAGGAGACAGAAGGGACTCCAGAAAGACGGAGAGGTGGGGCACACCCCCAAGTGCTGGACACAGTGCACACAACCGAGGAAGAAGTGAAGAGGCTTCTGAGTGAGCTAGATACCTCAAAGGCAATGGGCCAGATAACATCTCCCCATGGGTATTGAGAGAGGGAGCAGAGGCGCTATGTGTACCCCTAACAACAATATTCAATACATCTATCGAAACAGGGAGATTGCCTGAGGCATGGAAGACAGCAAATGTAGTCCCAATCTTTAAAAAAGGAGACAGACATGAAGCATTAAACTACAGACCAGTGTCACTGACATGTATAGTATGCAAAATCATGGAGAAGATTATCAGGAGAAGAGTGGTGGAACACCTAGAAAGGAATGATCTCATCAACAGCAGCCAACATGGTTTCAGGGACGGGAAATCCTGTGTCACGAACCTACTGGAGTTCTATGACATGGTGACAGCAGTAAGACAAGAGAGAGAGGGGGGGTGGATTGCATTTTCTTGGACTGCAAGAAGGCGTTTGACACAGTTCCACACAAGAGATTGGTGCAAAAACTGGAGGACCAAGCAGGGATAACAGGGAAGGCACTACAATGGATCAGGGAATACTTGTCAGGAAGACAGCAGCGTGTCATGGTACGTGGCGAGGTGTCAGAGTGGGCACCTGTGACCAGCGGGGTCCCGCAGGGGTCAGTCCTAGGACCAGTGCTGTTTCTGGTATTTGTGAACGACATGACGGAAGGAATAGACTCTGAGGTGTCCCTGTTTGCAGATGACGTGAAGTTGATGAGAAGAATTCACTCGATCGAAGACCAGGCAGAACTACAAAGGGATCTGGACAGGCTGCAGACCTGGTCCAGCAATTGGCTCCTGGAGTTCAATCCCACCAAGTGCAAAGTCATGAAGATTGGGGAAGGGCAAAGAAGGCTGCAGACGGAGTACAGTCTAGGGGGTCAGAGACTACAAACCTCACTCAAGGAAAAAGATCTTGGGGTGAGTATAACACCAGGCACATCTCCTGAACGCACATCAACCAAAAACTGCTGCAG